GACTCACCACATTATGGGTTGCTCAATAATATTGTCAGTAGTTTTTTTTCGTCAGAAACCTTGGAGGCCAAAATACTGATATATTCGAAGTACATAAAGAAAAATACTGTCATCCAACAAATCTGAATCCAGTGAAACTCTTCTCCAAAAATGAGAAAGAAATTAAGACACTTCCAGATAAATAGAAACTGAGGGAGTTCATTACCACTACCATTTCAAGAAATGCTAAAGAGACTATTTCAGGTTGGGATTCAAAAAATGCTACACAATAACTTGAAGCCATGTGAAGAAATAAAGGTGTCAGTAAAGGTAAAAATATGGACAATTATATAAGCAATGTAGCTTTGTAACTCCACTTTTTATTTCCTAGATGATTTAAAAGAAAAAATTCATACAAAGTATAAGTCTATGCTTGGGGGAACACAATGTATAAAAAGTGTAATTTGTGACATCAGTAACTAAAAGAGGCTGGTAATGGAGATATATAGGAGTAGAGTTTGTGTATGCTATTGAAGTTAAGCTGGTATGAACTCAAATTAAACTGTTGTAACTTTAGGACATTAAACATTATCCCTATGGTAACCACAAAGAAAATCGCTATTGAATACATATAAAAGGAAATTAGAAGGGAATTTAAATGTATCACTGTAAAAATTGAACTAAATACAAAAGATGGCAACCAAGGATATAATGGACAAAAACAGTAGAAAGCATATAGCAAATAACCAAACTGCAGAAGCAAGTCACTCTTTACCAGTACTTACTTTACATGTCAATAGACTTAACTCTCCAATCAATAAAAATTGGCGGAATAGATTAAAGAAAAACAAAATCCAACTATATGCTTTCTACAAAAGACTCATTTAAGATCTAAAGACAAAAATAGGTTGAAAGTAAACGTACATAAAATAATACTCCACATAAACAGTAACCAAAAGAGAGCTGAGGGAGCTGTGCCATTTTCAGACAAAATATATTTTAAAGTTTACATGGAACAAAGGACATTGTTAATTAACAAAAGTTTCAATAAAGAAGGAACAAATAACAATTATAAATATTTATGCACCTAATAACAAACTCCCAAACTTTGTTCAACAAAATTGACAGAAGGCAAAAATGCACAGTTCGAAATAATAGTTGAGGACCTCAACAACCCACTTTCAATAATTCTTAGATCAAGAAGACATAAGATAAGTAAGGAAATAAAGGACTTGAAAAAATGCCAACTTCTAAAAGACATATACAGAACACTCTACAGAACAGCAACAGAATGCACATTCTTTTCAAGTGCACATGGGACATTTTCTAGGATAGACCAAACGTTAGGCCACAAAAAAGCCTCAAAAGATTTTTTTTTAAATAGATATGATACAAACTATCTTCTCTAGCCACTACAGGATGAAGTTAGAAATCAAGAACAGGGAAAAAATGGAAATTTCACAATATGTGGAAGTTAAGCAACAGTTGTCTTAAACAAGTCAATGATGAAATCAAAAGTAAAATTAAAAATGCATAGAGACTAATGAAAATGAAAATACAACATATCAAAACTTGTAGGATGCAGTAAAATCAATGCTAAGAGGGAAATTTATAAGCTGTCAAATTCTTATATTACAAGAAAGAAATAAATCAATAAGGTAACTTTACAACTTAAAGAACAAGAAAAAGGGAAACAAACCTGAACCTAGCAGAAGGAAGGAAATAATAATGGTTAGAGATGATATAATTTAAAAATAATAATAATAATAAAGAAAAGCAACAAAAACCCAAAGTTGATTTCTTTGAAAAGATTAAAAAATTGAATAAGCTTTATCTGGATTGACCAAGGAAAAGGCAGATAATTCAAATTTCTAAAATCAGAAATGAAAGTGATGACATTACTACCAATTCTAGAGAAACAAAACAGATTATACTATAGTACTATGAACAGTGGTATGCCAACAAATTGAGTAACAGAGATGAAATGGATAAATTCCTAAAAACTTGAAAGCTATCAAGCCTGAATTACAAAGAAACAGAATCTGAATAGAACTACAACTAATAAGACAGTTGAATCAGTAATCAAAACCTCCCAACAAGGAAAAGTCCTGGACCAGATGGCTTCACTGGTTAATTCTACCAAACACTTAAAGAAGAAATAAATAACACCAATTCTTCTCAAACTCAAAAATTGTAGAGGAGGGAACACTTCATAACTTATTCTATGAGGTCAGTATTACCCTGATACAGAAATCAGACAAAGACACTTCAAGAAAAGAAAACTAAAGACCAATATCCTTTTTGAAGGTTTATGTAAAAATCTTTGACAAAAATACAAACCAAATTCAGTAGCAGATTAAAGAATTATACACCATGATCAATTGGGATTTATTCCCATAATGCAATGATGGTTCAATATATGAAAATCTATCAATGTAATACACTACAACAGTACAACAGGTAAAAAAAACACACGGTCATCTCAAATGATGCAGAAAAAGCATTTGAAAAAATTCAAATTTTCATGATAAAAATACTCATCACTAGGAAGAGAAGAAAACTCTTTGAGAAAAAACCTCAAAATGGTTAAGGCCATATATTAAAAAACCTATAGCTAACATCATACTCAATGGTGAAAGACTGAAAGCTTTTCCTCTAAGATCAGGAAGAAGACAAGAATATCCACTTCTGCCACTTATATTCAACATAGTATTGAAACTTTTAGCCAGAGAAATTAGGCAAGAAAAATAAATAACAAAATAAATCCAATTGAAAAGGAAGAAGTAAAATTATCTTTATTTGCAGGTAATATCTCATATGTAGAAGACCCCAGAGATGCCACAAGAAAACTGTTAGAACTAATAAATAAATTCAACAAAGTTGCATGATAAGAAATCAACACAAACATCAGTTGTGTTTCTATATACAAACAAGGAACATTTCAAAAGGGAAATTAAGAAAATGAATGCAGGTGACATCAGCAAGATGGAGGGCTAAGAGGCTCCAATGCTTGTACTTCCCCCTCAAAAAAATACAACAGGAACGGTAAATAAATAATCACAGACCAAAGAAAACTGCTCAAGGAAAGCTCTGGACAAGAAAAAAATGCAGCAAGAAAAACGCAGAACTCAAAAATCGAGGATGGTTGTGTAGAAAATTACAGGAAGTATTTTGCCTGCACCACCCCATCTGCCAGTTGGGAGCAGCTCAGTACCAGAGGGAATCCCTTCCAAGGAATTTCACCACACAGAGAGAAGGAAAACAGAACCCCAGCAAGCCTCACCATTGTGGACATTTGCAGCCTTTGTTACAGAGATCTCCTGCAGTCTTTTTTTTTAAGGGACTTTTTAGAAAATTTAATTTTGTTGATGGAACATTGGTTTATAACATTACATAAATTTCATGTGTACAACATTATATTTCTTCTTCTGCATACACTATACTGTGATCACCACCAAAAATTTACATCAGCATACAGTTGATCCCATTCACCCATTTCGTCCTCCCCTCCACCCCTTCCCATCAGGTACCAGCACTCTCACCTCTGTATCTATGTGCTTGCTTTTGTTTGGTTTGTTTTGTTCATTTATTTTGGTATTTTGTTTTTTATATTCCACATATGAGTGAAATCATATGGTATTTGTCTTTCTTCATCTGGCTTATTTCACTTAGCATAATACTCTCAAGGTCGAACACGTTATTGCAAACGGCAAGATTTTATAATTTTTATGGCTGAGTAGTATATAATATATATATATATATATATATGAGATATGATATACATATCATATCTTCTTTATTAATTCATCCATTGATGGACTCAGGTTGGCTATTGTAAATAATGCTGTGATGAACATAAGTGTGCATATACCTTTTTGAATTAGTGTTTTCATATTCTTTGGATAAATATCCAAAAATTCTGCCACAGTCTTTACTGATCCCAACTGATGGAGTGGCTTACAGTGCACCCTCTGCATCTACTCCCAGAGGCAGGAACTGTTGCTGAGGTGAGTCTTGACCTCAGGGACCCCAGTTGCTGCTGTGCCCTGCTCTCAGGGGTCTCTTACCACAGCACCTCACTATATATGAGACTGAAACTCCCACTGCTCATTGCCCACCTTTAGCCCCAGGTCACAGCTTTGTCCCATCACTCTCTGGGTGGCTTTGACTGCCCTGACTTCTGGCCCCAGGATCCCAAGTCATGATTTGGCTGCCATTATTTGAGTTATGCTGCAGCCACACTGAGCCCCACCAGCTGGGCTCCAGGTTACAGCTTTAAATGACAGTGCAAAGGGTGCTGCCACCACCCTGAGCACTGCCCCCAAGTCCTAAGTCATGCTTGATCACCATTTTAAGGACTTTGCTACCACTGCCCTGAGCCCCACTCACCAAGTTCTGGGTAACAGTTTGAATCATCAATGCCACAGGTGCTGCTACTGCTGCTTGAGCCTCATCCCCTAGGTCCCAAGTCATGCTTTGACTGCCACTATTGGGGCCATCCTGCTGCCACCCTGAGTTCCATCCACAGGATTCCATGTCACAGCTATGGGATGGAATGCCAGGGATGCCGGGAATGCTGCCACTAGCCTGAGCCTCATCCCTTTGCAGATTAAGACTCTAACATGTCAATGCTGTCACTGGGCTGTTGTTGCCCGAGCTCCATCCTTATCCCTAATCAAGACTCTGAACCCTCATTTTCAGTGACATTACTGCTGACCTGAGTCATGTCCCCAGGTCCCAGGCCACATCTCTGACCCGTGATTGCTGAGACAGTGCTGTCACTGTCCTGAGCTGTCCCCCAGGTTTCAGGTCCTACCCCTGACCAGTCACTATTGGAACTGCCAAGTCCAAGGTCACAGCTCTGAACCGTCATGGCCAGGGCCATGATGCCTCTGTTTTGAGCCCAGTTCCCCAGGTTCTGACACACAGATTTAACAGGCTGCAATCAGAGATGTGCTGCAGCTATCCTGTGACTGTTCCCTGTGGTCAGAGCTGAAACTTTGACCCACTGTCACCAGGCTATGCTAGTACTGCACCCTACCCACCATTACGCCTTGTCATCCCAGGGCCTATGTCACTGTTGTACCTACCCCTTGCCTGCCAGAGTCACAGTGGTGAGACCCATGTAATAGTTCTATGGGATATTTGCACGTGTCCTCATGTTGGACATCAATGTCATAGCCACAGCAAGTGCACCTGTGCCCCAGAAACCAGGCACTGTGATAGTTTCACATGCACCTGACTCTAGGACTCCAGCTCCAATACTGCTCTGAGTGCCCTGAGTGCCAGCACACCAGATCAGGCACTAAGAAGGGTTCCCTTGGTTAGAACTTCCTTCCATAAAAAAAAGAAAGGAAAACAGGAACACCTCAGTAGCTCTCATATGCAAATATCCCAATAGCCTTACCTGCCACTGCCACGTGCAGATTTTCTGCAGTCTAGACGACAGAAGACCCCACAGTCTGGTCAATATCAATCTCAGCTGATGGAGTGTCATGGAGACTACACTATTGTGCCTTCTCAGGAGCCAATCATGCTGCATCTAATGCAGCCAATGACTTTTACAGCCACCTCCAGGTGAAAGATTTTCCTCCACTGAAGCCACTGGTTTAAGAGCACAGAATATAAATGTAAAACTTAGCAGGAAAAATGTTGATTTTTATGGATTCTAATATTCTGTTTTCCATCTTAGGTTGTAGAAGAAAATGGGATTCGAAAAATTAGCATTGTGCCTCAGACAATTGACTACCACATGACCATGTCTGCTCTTCTACAACAAGTATCACACTTCATTGCACCAACTTCTCCTTTGTATCCACAAGCCCCTCAACTGATGTATCCCTCAGCTCAAGGGGAATTTCCACCACCTTACATCCAAGAGCCTGTGTCACAGCAGCTGCCACCACCATTGCTGCCACCACCACTACCACCACTGCCACCAAGAGCAACAACATTTATATACCATGAGCAGCATCGTAGTATATAACTTTCTTAAACAGGAGATATTTTGAGTTTAAAATTAACAGCTTTGGGCAATTATTAAAATTAAAAAAGTAGAAGATAGTAACATTTCCATGAATGATTGCATTTCATGCATATATATTAGGATGGATGATAATATGTACTGGTTTGTGTCTTAGGCAAAATGCCCATAAACAGAATTTTCTATAACCTTTTTGTACTTTGATATAGCATGTGATTTATGATATTTATTTTACTGACTGGGTCTATAAAATCATATTGAAAAATCATAAACAATGTTTTCATTATTAATGCCGTACAGTGGGAATATAAAAGACACAGTCATCTTAGGACCTTAAAATTTGGAAGTGGAGTTACTCCCAAGGAAAACACTGTCTCTATTTGTTCATGTTTTTCTTTCTGTATATTTCAATACATAATACATACACACACACATACACCTCATATCTGTATTAAAGCAAAGTAGAAAAATTTTTTGAAGTAAAGCATGGTTTATCAGTGCTTTTTGGTGGTTTGAAACAAAGATTTAAAAGATTTTGAGATATGTAATTATTATAATTATTAAACAGCATTCCATTATCTCTTTTAGAAACCCATTCCCATGGAAGAGCAAATTATAACCATCTTGATGAAAGGGCTGCTAAAACGGGAGAATGTATGAAGAAAAAAATGAAAGAGCGCCAAACTGGTGGACACAAGGATGGCTGTATGATTACCGACACCTCATTGATTTTGAACAAAGTTAATGATTTTTCCAGTATTCCTGGTACTCCAAGCACTTACAGTGTAGACTATGCTCCAAGCACCTACACTTGACAGTACTCCAAGCACCTACACTTGACAGTACTTCAAGCACCTACACTGTGGACAACACTTCCAGCATTTACACTGTAGACAATGCTCCAAGTACCTACACTGTTGACAATACTCTGGGCACCTACACTGTGGACAATGTTCCATGCACCTACACTGCTGAAAATACTTTGAGCACCTACACTGTGAACAATGTTCTGAACATTTACACTGCTGACAATACTCCTAGTACTCACACTACTGACCACCCTCCAAGCACTTATATCATTGACAATACTCCCTACAATTCTTCCACTGACCATGCTCCTAATGCTTCCACCACAAACACTGCTCTGCACCCTTCCACCACTGATAATGGTGTTCAGAGCCCTTCCAGCACTAATTATGCCTCTGAGACTTCCACCTCTGACAGTACTCCCACACCATCACCTATTGACAGTACTCCAAGCTCTTCCATTTCTGACAATGTTCCCAACACTCCCATCTCTGAAAGTGCTCCCAGTACTTCTGCCACTGATGGTGCTCTCAATACAGCCAGTGCTGCCAGCGCTTCCAATGCTGCTAGTGATTATGTTGAAACTAGTCATGGAAACAAATGGAGTGATACGGAAAGCAGAGACATCAAACAGAAACCAGGTGGAAAACGAAGCAAGAGCCCATCATCAAATACTGCAGAAAAAGGTAAGGTGAGGAATTTGGTTGTGTCGACAATGAACAGACATCTTTTTTTTTTTTGCGGTACGCAGGCCTCTCACTGCTGTGGCCTCTTCCGTTGTGGAGCACAGGCTCCGGACGCACAGGCTCAGCGGCCATGGCTCATGGGCCCAGCCGCTCTGCGGCATGTGGGATCCTCCCGGACCGGGGCACGAACCCGTGTCCCCTGCATCGGCAGGCAGACTCTCAACCACTGTGCCTCCAGGGAAGCCCCGAACAGACATCTTAATGTTTACGAATCTCGGTACATTTTAAATATCTAAGTGCCATTTTCTGCTTCCATTTCCTCTTGTCTTCTTTGTACCCTTACCTCTAAATTCTTAACAAAACCACAAATTAAGCTGTCTTTTTAAATTATGGAGAAATGACCATCCTCATGCAAAATGTGTCAGGTATCTTACGTACACACCACATAATTTTTTCTAGTTGTCTGCCAGTAAAACATTGCAAATTACTCTACCATCCTAACAAGTTCACATGATTTTATTTAAATTGAGGACTTTGGTTCATCTTTTGTTAGAGCTTATTTAATAGTATACACTTTAGACTCCTCTCTTCTTTTAAAACTTTTAATGTAGGGCTTCATGGTAGAGTACACCTACGTACTTAGGACCATTTGCTCAGGAAGATGTAGCTGTGTGAACAAATAAATTGCATGATGCATGGTGTTTTTGAGGCTTTTCATATCAACACAATTTAAAATAAGCTAGCTAAAGACAAATCTGTATTATTACAGTGTGAAGAAGTTGCAGTGGTAAAATAAAATTTCACTTCTTATAGGTATATTAATTTGGCATGCAAATGAAGAATTTTGAACTATTAATATCACATTTTTGTATTTTTATAAAATGTGTTAAAGTTATCTAAACTTCAAGGAGAATTGTGCTTCTTTACAGTTGAATGTATAAGATTAAGATTATTACTTAGCTTTTAAATGTGTGTGAGGTCTGTTATAAACAAAGGTTTATATTCACAGCGATGAAGTTACATTTACTCTACTATCTACAACCATCCGTGGCCTATTTTGTCAGGTAAGAACTCCATCTTACACAACCTCCCCCATCCTGTAGCCAGGCAGACTCCCGAGTCTGTATCAGTTCACTACCTATATGATTCCTATAGTCAGCCTTGCTACTTGCCAGCAGAGTGGTCTTTCATTCAAGCTTCAAAACAACTCCCTACAAATCCAGCATTAGTTCACCTTCTTTCATTTAAAACAGGTAAAAGGGTGATTTGGGAGCCATTATTTGCAAGCATACAGCTTCATTCAGCTGGAAAAATTTTTATAATTAGCTCCTAAGAAATGTATCTGGTGGCTGTATCAATGTACATGCCCACCAACAGTGAAAGAGGGTTCCCTTTTCTCCACACCCTCTCCAGCATTTGTTGTTTGTAGATTTTTTGATGATGGCCATTCTGACCAGTGTGAGGCGACACCTCATTGTAAGTTCGATTTGTGTTTCTCTAATAATTAGTGATGTTGAGCATCTTTTCATGTGTCTCTTGGCCATCTTTATGTCTTCTTTGGTGAAATGTCTGTTTAGGTCTTCTGCCCATTTTTTGATTGGGTTGTTTGTTTTTTTTTTGATATTGAGCTGCATGAGTTGTTTATATATTTAGGAGATTAATCCTTTGTCAGTTGCTTCATTTACAAATATTTTCTCCCATTCTGAGGGCTGTCTTTTCATATTGTTTATGGTTTCCTTTGCTGTGCAAAAGCTTTTAAATTTCATTAGGTCCTATTTGTTTATTTTTGTATTTATTTTCATTACTCTAGGAGATGAGTCAAAAAAGATCTTGCTGTGGTTTATGTCAAAGAGTGTTTTTCAAAGAGTGTTTTTTCCTATGTTTTCCTCTAAGAGTTTTATAGTGTCCAGTGATACAACCACTATGGAGAACAGTATGGAAGTTCCTTAAAAAACTAAAAATAGAACTACCATATGACCCAGCAATCCCACTACTGGGCATATACCCTGAGAAGACCATAATTCAAAAGGACACGTACCCCAATGTTCATTGCAGCACTATTTACAATAGAGAGGACATGGATATTTACAATAGCCAGGACATGGAAACAACTAAATGTCCAATGACAGATGAATGGATAAAGAAGATGTGGTACATATATACAATGGAATATTATTCATCCATAAAAAGGAACGAAATTGGGTCATTTGTAGAGATGTGGATGGACCTAGAGTTTGTCATACGGAGTGAAGTAAGCCAGAAAGAGAAAAGCAAATATTGTATATTAACAATATATGGAACTTATATATGCGGAATCTAGAAAAATGGTACAGATGAACTTATTTGCAGGGCAGGAATAGAGATATAGATGTAGAGAACGGACATGTGGACACAGGGTGGGGAAGGGGAGGGTGGGAAGAACTGAGAGATTAGGATTGACATATAAACACTCTCATGCGGAAAATAGGTAGCTACTGGGAACATGCTATAGAGCACAGGAAGCTCAGCTCAGTGCTCTGTGATGACCCAGATGGATGGGATGGGGGGTGAGGGGTGGGAGGGAGGTCCAGGAGGGAGGGTACATATAGCTGATTCACTTCACTGTACAGCAGAAACTAACACAACATTGTAAAGCAATTATACTGCAATTAAAAAAAAAGAAATGTATCTAGAAACTCAAGAATGCAATTTACTACAAATGTTAGGATACATATTTGAAAGCTTACAGCAATTGTTATTACAGTTTTAGAATTACAATTATAAGAGGCTCAGCACACAGAACTGTGTCTGAAGTGGTTAGCTTCACAACTCCAGGCTGCAAACCAGACCCTCCACTTACATCCAAACTGATTAACCGATCCAAGAGCAGCCTGAATTTACAGTGGAAAGTAAGGATTTTTATTGCCAAAAGCACCTCAAAATGTCTTTTAATTTTAAAACATTCTTTCTACTTTGTCTTGAATTTTAAATATGAAATTTTGCATGTCTCATTTGACTTATTTCCCTAGCACTTTTCCTTCTCCATAATCATCTTTCTCTTCTTTCTGTCTATATCAAGCACCAAGTAAACTAAGAAATGTCAATCAGAATTTCAATAATTAATGAAAATTGAAATGTCAATTTCTACAACCTAAATTTGTTTATAATTGTGGTTACCGATAAGTCTACCTCTCAATTTACTTAAGTACTAACTTTCTTCATTGCATAAAATTTGGGAAACACAACAAAACATAAAATTTGGCATGTCCTATAGACTGTAAAAAGTGCATTTTAACTTTAAAATCTGGATTGCTTCAAAAATAAATTGTAAGCAGATTAATTACATATATTATATAAATACTTATATGAGTATATATGTGTATATATATGTGTATATATATACGGTGTAAAAACAGCTCATCATAATTTTATCTTTCTGATATCTTTAGCGTTCCAATGATAATGGTTCCAAAATAAATAGCTTCCTTTTGGAATGGGATGAGGTAAGCAGTTTTATTTTTTAAAAGCACTAATTTGTAAATGATTATTAATATTATGGATTTTTGTTATTTGTAGCATTTTATAATATTCTAATATTTTGTGTATATTATTAAGGGCAAAGGTGAAGACTTCAAAAGTTGCTATATAGGTACCATGAAACAGCACAAGATCCTTAAACTGAATGCTTCTACAAAATATTCATTCAGATTAGCTGCCAAAAATAACTTTGGCTTGAGGTACATTGATTTACTGCAATATTTTAAAGTCTATACTTCAATAAGAACCTGAAACTAATTTTCCCATCTTCATTTACTTTTCAGTGATTTCAGTGAAATAGCAGTCTTCCATACATCAGGAACTATGCCTCCAACACCTTCACCCCCTAAGCTGAAAGAAGCAGGAATCTGTAATTTGTCACTAGAATGGTGTACCCCAACTACCACAAACCCAAATGACAGTCTTACTTATGTACTAGAAATGGAGGAAGCAGGATCTGTAAGTTTTCCTTTCATATGCTTTAGTCTTCAACTTCAGTCTTGGGTATATTTTATATGCATTTTACACTGAAAAAAAATTAAAATTTTATTAATTTAATTAACTTATTTTGAATCAAACTGCATGATTCCTGAGTCTCAGTGTTCTGGATGGGACCAATGTAGAGCCAAGGTTAGGCAGGCCTGTACAGGGAAATCTGAAGGTACGCAAGTCCCTACAAATTTGTTAGAAGCAGCAACAGCCACAACAGCAGAACAGAGACTCAGAGAAGTGTGTTAGTTCTTCAACTTTGGGCCTATCCTGGACAAACTTGCATGGTCACACAGATCTCCTACATACTTCTACCAGAGCAAGCCATTTCCTCATCTCCCTGGATTCCTGATGTGGGTGGTGAGCAAACTGTTTCATTCTATTCTGAACTTTCAAGTCTATACTGAATAGACTAGTCAACTTAAAAAGCAGCTGTAAATTTTATGTTATGTATATTTTACCACATTTTAAATAAAACAACATTTTAAATAAAACAACAAAATACCACATTTTAAATAAAACAACTACTTATACAAAACAACTGTTTTGTATAAGTAATACATTAAGTGCTTTCATATACATTATCTCATTACATCCTGAAAGAAGGAGCCCTTTAAAGTAGAAATTATCTCCACGTTTTTATATAGACAAACTGAAATTCAGAGAAATTAAGGGGTTTTCTAAGGACCACCCGATGGAAAATAAATTAAAGCTGAAACTTGAACCAGGCCTGCCTTATTCCTAAATTCATTGTCTTTCATTTCCAGGGGTTGGGTTTTAAACCTAAATACAATGAAGAAGACCTTTCATGCACTATAAGAAACCTTCAGAGAAGTACTACATACAAGTTCAGGGTATGTGGCTATAATTTATAAACTTGTATCATATTTTTAATATAAAAGTATACACTTTGCTAAAGATAAAAATGAGTGTCTTTTGGGGTTGAAATTAAAACTATTTTGTATTTAGTTCTCAGAAATTTTCAGTCAAATAACTTGCTTTACAGTGTTATTTGCAAACTGCACATTTTCAAATCAGGCATTTATTCCCAGTGGTCAACCAAAGTATTCTCTTTTACTCAAGCAGATCTTTGCCTACAATATGGAAGGAAAGAGCAACCCCAGTGGAGAAGTAAAATATACTACCTGTCCAGATAAGCCTGGATCCCCTAAAAAACCATATATGAAGGGAAAGATCCATGCACACAGAGTAAAAATTGGATGGGGTAAGTAATGCTTTTGTATTTAAAATTTACTCTCTCTGTCTAAATATAAACTATTGAGAAGGAATCTCCCTCTAATTGCCCTCAGCTTTATAAAATATTCTCTTAATCATTTGTATATGAAATATTTCACCATATAAATGTTTCATTGTAAACTATATTGTTTCTTCTAGTTCTCTATTGCTATGTCATTAACTCACACATGAACAAATTACTGAACTTTATATGAGCCTTTAAAATTATGGTTATTATAAGTATGACTATCTAATATAGAGGCCACACTTAGGACACATCAGTGATACATATCAACTTGACAAGAAATTATATTTATACAAATTAATTTGCCTTTAAACTGGCAAAATCAACTTTAAGGTACATGCAATTAGTATTTTGTTCTCCTCCAAAGAACTTTAAAATATTACTTAAATGCTTCATGTCCAATATTCTAATAATGCAATTTGATTATGTTTTTATGATCTGTATTAATATCTGAATATTAACATCTTGTTAAGTTTCATGTTTGCATTTTTTACCTCCATGAAAAAAATTTTAATTTATGAGATAACATTGCAGTGAAAGACTTTTAAGTTTACTCAAGAATAATTTTAATTTTATTCCTCTTTTTCAGAACCACCCAAAGATAATGGTGGGACATACATGTTAAGTTACAGTTTAGAAGTTAGTGAAAACTTGGATGGTAAGGCATCATGATTTTTAAGTTTTTATTTTGAAATAATTTTAAACTTACCTAGAAGTTGCAAAAATAGTATAGAGAATTCCCATGTATAACCTTCACTCCGCATCTCCTAATATTAATATCTTACATAACCATAGTGCAGTTATCAAAACCAGGAAATTGCCACTGGTACAATACTATTAACTAAACCCCAGAACTTACTTGGATTTCTCCAGCTTTTGGTAACAAATCATGTTTACTAACTGATCTTATGATTTTATGGTTAATTCTACAGGGAATATAATTATTTAACTATTGTTAATAGGTAATTGGACCACAGTTAATTTCCAAAATGGTATATACATGAGATAAGATTTATATACATGAGATAAGATTTATAAGCTACCTATAAATAAATTGCATAAATTTGCTTCTATCCCTTCAATGAATTTCTGGAACATAATCTACAGTGGAACTACAAGGAATTTCTATATGATCACCTGCAACCTGGTACTACATATAAACAGAGAGTCTTTTGCACTTCGCCTATAGGCCATAGACAGGTGAGAAAAGAGAGAAGGAAAAGTTTTTAAATTGAGGATTGAAATGAACTGTGTAATATTACTAAATGTTCTATAAAACCGAACTTGAATTCAGTATAGTCATAAGGTATTTTGTATTTCTCTTAGCCTTCAGATATATTGACTGTTCAAACACCTACTCTTTCTCCTGCATCTTGCCATCCTCCACCCTTGAATGGTAAAGTGCAGTCCAAAGAACCGAACATCCAATGTGGTGAGGCTTCTTGTGTGATTTGAATGACTGCACCTAAATTTCCTGTTTTGTAACTTCTGATTTTTATATATTAAATATTATTAAAGCAGAATAAATGGTTTTCTTTTATTACAAAATCAAATAGTGTTTAGAAAATTATTTCTTGGTAATTAAACTCACAAAATTTTTAAATGTCTGGAAATTAAATTAAAAATTAACTGACACAGGGGCTTCCCTGGTGGCGCAGTGGTTGAGAGTCCGCCTGCCGATGCAGGGGACGAGGGTTCATGCCCCAGTCTGGGAAGATCCCACATGCCGCGGAGCGGCTGGGCCCGTGAGCCATGACTGCTGAGCCTGTGCGTCCGGAGCCTGTGCTCTGCAACGGGAGAGGCCACAACAGTGAGAGGCCCACGTACCAAAAAAAAAAGAAAAATTAACTGACACAAAGTAGTATAATTTGAGTTTTTTGTTTCTTTAACATAAAGTAACTGTTATATGTTTTAACATATCTTCTTAAATTATATGGTATTTTTAAGTACCATCCTTAAAATCATTTGCAATTATTTTAAGTTTATTTTGTATATTTTTATAGACAATCCTCCTGCAAATGGAAACTCTGAAGCACTTGCAAATGTCAAAAAGGCAAACGGTAACCAAGATGATGCACAAGGGCACTCTGGCTCCAAAGTGAGATGCACAGTGAGTAAATTAATTCCTGAAGAATCCACAGTTTCTGGTTAAAATCAGGAAAATAACTCTGGGAAAGTTAAATTGTTCAGTTGACCATTTGTAGTTCATTTCACTTTGGATGAATATATGCTTCTACTTCCTGTCAAGGTAGGGAGTGACCATGCCTGCACAATCATTTGTGTGTTTGCTTCCTTGTTTGCTTGTGTTTATTTGTAGTTTGGATCTCATTCAATGACGTGTGAAACTGCTCCAGTCCCAAGCCCTCCTTCTCAATGTGGTACACCTGTGCTAACCTGCAAGGGTCCAACCTGTGTTGTTTTTAGTTGGGAAGTATGTTATCAGTTTATTAATTTTGGTGATATAAAAGCACAGTAATTGGTTTAGAAATGGTTTTGAAAGTTTAGAACTCCCTAAGGAGTCAGAGTCTAGATTAGGGTTCCATAAATCTTGGACCATGGTTTTAGAATACACCTAAGACCTGTTACTAGTGCAATTAAGATGGCTAAGGCTATGGTAAACCTGCTTTCCAGATCTTGTAATTTTGGAGGATAATAAATTTAGAAAACCAAAGAGACAATCAATATGCAACTAATTGAATTTTTAAAACTAAAACAAGAGATAATAAAATTAAATCAATTTATAGAATTAGTATTTTTTTAAAGCTTCATTGGGAAATCTCTGGTAGTATGTTTGCATATAAATACAGTATGACACATAAGAAATGTGACTATGAGGTAATGAAAAATTTTTTAAATTTACATCCATTTGAATATATTCCCATTCAAAATAATCAAGCTCAAAAAGAATTGGCCTAGTTATTAAGCCACCTAAGTATCTTTGAATTTTTCGTCCTTTTTTCCCAGATTCTAGCAGAGGGTTTTTAGCATTAACAGAAAACCTTTAGTCTGATAATAATAATAAGTGATTACCTATAATGGAAGAGAATGTAAAAAAAGAATATATATATTATATATATATATATATACATATATATATAAAACTGAATCACTTCACACCTGAAAGTAATACAACATTGTAAATCAACTATATTTCAGTAAAAATTTAAAAAATAATAATAAGTGATTGATCTGATTACACCACTGTACAAAAGCCAGAGAGTACTAGAGTTTATGTTTGATCCCACTAGTATGTGGGATTAGCCAATCCTTTCTCTTAATTTTATTTGAGCCTTTTAATGTTAATTATAGTGTTCAGCCTTATGTTTAATTATTTCTACACTTGTCTATATCTCATTACATTTAATAGATTATAAGCTTTGACACTGAAAGGATCATACTGTAACTTTCCACAGTATTGAGTATAGTGACTACTTATAGAAAGAACTCAACTTTTATGTTTGTTGCATTTTTCAGATTCCCGTATGTAATGGTGCTGAAATCACTGATTACAGACTAGAGTGGGGACAAATTGAAGATTCGATGCACTTGATTTACACTGGCCCTTGCCTGAGCTCTGAAGTTAAAGGTCTCATTCCTGCAACTATGTATTTTTGCAGAGTTCCGGTAATCCTAACAGTTCTTTCAATGTAAACAAGATGTCAGCTATTAATTAATCTATGCTATCCACATTCATAGTATACCATTTCCAATGTAGAGACTGGAAGAGAGTCACAGACTTCCAAATATTAAATATTCCTCATATTCAACAACAATATTCTGAGCTCCTTCACCTGGCTTTTAAAGCCCCACATAATCTTGCACCTACTTTCTATTCCAACTTGATCTGCCATTATTTTCTCTACAGTTCTCTGTTTCCCAAATTTCCCTGAACCTAACAATCACTTGAAATGCTTGTATAAAACACTGAATTCCACACCTCCACTCAGACCTATTGAATCAAATTTTCTAATCCAGAGACTTGCTAATCTGTATATTTTAAAAGCACCCAAAGTGATAATTATCATTAATTAGGAAAAAGTGCATAAACTATTTCAAACAAACAAGTCTACTCTACCGCCACACCAAGTATGCTTTGTACATTCGTTCATACTGGTTGTCTGCCAATCTTCTCCTATAAAACCAAGCTTCTGCATGAATGCTTCCCTGAAAACCTTAGGTGGAAGTGATCCCTTCATCTTCTACAAGAATTATAAAACTTTAAGGTATGAGGGGACAGCCTACATTTAGAATAACCTGATATGTTGTCTCTATAAAGTTAAGCCATCAAATCCTAGAAGCCCTAATACTGGGCACCTGAGCTGCATCTCCCAGATTACCTTTCATAACTGGAAGGTGCTTTTTAAAAAAATAATCCTTTAGGGCTTCCCTGGTGGTGCAGTGGTTGAGAGTCCGCCTGCCGATGCAGGGCACACAGGTTCGTGCCCTGGTCTAGGAAGATCCCACATGCCACAGAGCTGCTGGGCCCGTGAGCCATGGCTGCTGATCCTGCACGTACGGAGCCTGTGCTCCGCAGTGGGAGAAGCCACAGCAGTGAGAGGCCCATGTACCACAAAAATAAAATAATAATAATAATAATCCTTTGTCATATTTTTGGGTGCCTCTATTTTTTGGATTGGAAAAATGCTCTCACAGTATATATTTATTAGACAGCCACTGCAATAGTTCAAAGGATAGAAGAGTTTGTGAATATTGAGGCTGCTGCAATGGGAATGCTGAAACATTAATGAATTTGAAAGATATTAGAGAGGTAAAAATCAATGGAATAGCTTCTGGCCAAGACAGAGTATCCCCATACCTCCCAGGTCCTCCCTCTTACAACTAAAAAGTCCTGAGCATAACACAACAAGAAAGCATAGGAAGACTCTGAATGGTGGAAAGAAAGAAAAATTGAAAGAAAAAAAATCCTGGGGAACTCACAACTTGAGGAACATCACAGTGGTGAGCCCCTGGGCTCCCTTATTGTCTCCCATATATCCCAAAAAGGGTGTGAGAGAAGCCTCCAACTCAAAATTTCCATTAGGGACAGACAGTAAAAAAAAACTCCAAGAAAAGCCTGTTTCCCCCACCCCCAGGAAAATGATTGGCAAAATGGTAGCCTAACAATAGAAAATGTTTTAGTCAATACTCACCTTACTCCAGCCAAACATCAACAGTAAAACCACACACACCCCTGTCCTTCCCCACCCCTGAAATTTCAACAGTCCGAATGTGAAGCTGACCATCCAATTCACCACATAACCAGGCAACATGCTCCAATTTCCCTAGCCAGAGGTATCAGTTTTCGCAGGGCTAAGCAGGGAATTAATCTTCCATCTCTGCTCCCATTCCTCTGCAAACTGGTGTCAGTATGGCCAAGCAGGGAGCTTACAGCCTTCCATACCTCTCTGATAGAAGCAGGCAGCAGCACTCTAATTCCCCTGTAAGGGTAGTGTTGGCAAGCTCAAACTCCACGCCCCACCCAGCAGCAACAGACTGAACAAAATGGTATGATTCAGGCTAGTTAGCACTCTACTTTCCTTCTGCTCCTGTGTCAGTGAGGCCCAGTAAGTAGCTGAACTTACATGTCCACCAACCAGCACTGAGACTGAAAGATGATATGGGAAGAAGAGCTAGTCAGCACTCAGGTCCCCCCTTCACCTGCTGTCAGTAGGGTCCAGTGGAGAGCTCAGCCCCCACCTCTTCTCAGCTATCAAAGAGTCAGATCTAGGTGTTGAGAGGCTATGCTACTTGGTACCTCAGTCTCCCCACTCCCTTCCCTTGGTGTCATTAAGACCCAGCTGGGAACTGAGCTTACACTTCCACCCTGAAAGAATAGAGGTGTTAGTCAGTCCTGTATTTCCCCCCTCCATGGTATCAGCACAATCCAATGAGGAGCTGAGCTTATACCCACACTCAGAGACAGTGATGCAGTATAAACAGTTGCCCTGTTTTTGCTGGAAAGAAATCAAGGGTCATAGACAGGAACTGAACTTCCACCCTACCCAAACTTTGCACTATACCTCTAGAAGGATACTGCCTACTAAAAAATTATTAAATAAGATCCAGAGTCTCATAGTATAATATTCAAAATGTCCAGAATAAATAATCATTTGTCATAACAAGAACCAGGAAAATCACAACTTGAATGACAATAAACAATCAACAGACTCTGTGAGGTAAGTCGGAGGTTTGAATTATCTGACAAGGATTTAAGGAGCCATCAAAAACTATTCCAACAAGCAATTTTGAGTTTTCCTGAAACAAATGAAAAAATATTAAAAATCTCAGCAAAGAAATAGAAGTTATAGAAGAAAACCAAATGGAAATTATAGAACTCAACAATACAATAACCAAAATAAAAACCTGAACTGGATGGGCTTAATAGTAGAGTGGAGATGACAAAAGATAGAGTCAGTGAATTTGAGGACAAATTAATAAAATTTACCCACTCTGAACACCAGGAAGGATTTAGAAAAAAAAGAAAAAATGAACAGTTTCAGAGATATATGGGACAATAGCAAAATACCTAATGTTCATATCATTAAATCCCAGAAAGAGAAAAGAGAAAGAGTGGGAATGAAAAATTATCCAGAAAATAATAAAATCTTCCCAATTTGGGGGAAAACATAAACCAAAAGATTTAAAAAGCTGAGCACATCCAAAATAAGATAAACCTGAAGAAACGCACACCACCAAGTCACATCATAACTAAATTCTGGAAACAAAAGACAAAGAAAAATATCTTGAAAGTACCCAGAGAGAAATGGTACATTATTTATAGGTGAACATCAATTCAAATGACAAAAGATACCTCATCTGAAACCATGGAGGCCAGAAAAAAGTGGCACAACATTTTTCAAGTACTGATAGGCATTAACTGTCAACTGCAAACTATATCCAGCAAAAATATTCTTCAGGAATGAAAAGGAAATAAGAACATTCTCAGATGAAGGAAAACTAAGAATGTGTTCCCAGCAAAACTACTCTTAAAAAATAGCTACAGAAAGTACTCTAAATAAAAAGGAAATGATAACAGAAGAAGGTTTGGAACTTCAGGAAATAAATAACATTGGGGTCCTGGCTCAAGATGGTGACATATAAGGCTCACCTCCTCCCCCAGACACACCAAAACTATAGCTACACAAGGAGCAATCCCTTCTGAAAGAAGTCTAGAAACTAGTTGAGTGACTAATAAACACTGGGCAAATGAAAAAAAAATAAACCCACATCAAAATGGATAGGAAAAGCTGAGATACACTCTCAGCATGAACCTCGTATCCAGCACAGCAATACACAATTGGAGGGAATTTAGAATTCCCAGCTTCTCCCTGAGCAGTGAAGAGTTTTGACCCAACATGTCACACCCCAACTTTTAAGACTTCCAACTAATGGATGGGTCTCCAAAACACCTAGCTATGAAAGCCAATGGGACATGCATCCACAAGACCTACAAGACTATAGCAAACAAAGAAAGAGTTCTTAATGGACTTGTGAGGACTCACAGTGGCTACCCACTTAAGGCCAAACCCAGAGGCAACAGAGAGAAATGCCAGTCTCTCAGTCTTTCCCTGAAAGATGGCTATTTGCATATTTTTAACCTTATACACTGAGGGTCAGGCTACCAATTTAGCACACATATAAGGGCCAACTGCGATCACCCTGTGCCCCACTCCATGTCAGCACTTTCTCCCTGAAAGAACATTGTGCACACGTCTGGCATCCCAGCATTTGTGGCTATCACCCAGAGGATGCAACACTTAATTTCCTGGCTCTAGTGGCCAGTGAAGTTTGCCGTTGCAGGCTCTAGAGTAGCGTAAAAAAGAAAGAAATCCTTTCAACTGGCTATACTCCCAGGGATCGGCATAGATTCAAAAGTCAGAAATGCCCATCTCCCAGTCTATCCCTGAAAGAGGTCTATGTGCATATCTTAAAGGCTACAGCCTGAGGGTCCAGCTTCCAATCATCCCGAATCTAGGGGCTGACAGAGATCCTCCCCTTTAAGACACTGACACACCTTGGCACACCCTCAACTACTGAGAACCACTATGAATAAAGATGGTGGCTTGCACAATCACCAATATCGGAGAGAAAACCAAGAGTTAGGGTGAGGCCAAATGATGAATTTCATCTTCTACATGAGGCCACTCCTTCAAAACTGGGAGAGGGGGCTATTTATCTAATATACAGAAACCAGCACAGAGAGTCAAGGAAAACGAAGAAACAGAGGAACATTTTCCAAACAAAAGAACAAGATAGGGCTTCCCTGGTGGCGCAGCGATTGAGAGTCCGCCTGCCAATGCAGGGGACACGGGTTCATGCCCTGGTCCAGGAAGATCCCACATGCCGCAGAGCAGCTGGGCCCGTGAGCCATGGCTGCTGAGCCTGCACGTCCAGAACCTGTGCTCCACAACAGGAGAGGCCACAGCAGTGAGAGGCCCGCATACCACACACACACACAAAAAGAACAAGATAAAACTCCAGAAATAGCACTTAATAAAATGGAGATAAATTATTTACCTGATAAATAGTTCAAAATAATAGTCATAAAGATGCTCACCAAGGTCAGGAAAACAATGCATGAACAAAGTGAGAATTTCAACAAAGAGATACAAAGTTTAAAAGTA